TAGTACGGCTCGGATTGATACTCCTCCGAGCAGTACGGAAACGTCACGCCGTCCGAATCAGGATTAAACAGATTCTTGCCGGCGTCGATCATAACGTAGCAACCCACGACAGTGCACACGACGATCACCACAACCGCCACCACGCGCTCATACATTGGCAAGTCGCGCCAGAAAACCTTGAGGTAGAACACAAGCGGCAGCACCAGGCAGCACACGGTGATGGCCGACGCGCCCGTGAAATCCACGAGGTCCAGGAAGTGCGAGCGGAAGCCGATTGCGGCTCCCACAAGAATCGCCATGATGACGAGACGCAACGTGACGTAGCGGAACACATTGACGCTGTAGTTTGAGAGCTGGGCCTCATCGTGTTCCTTCTCGCCCTGTTCACGCTTGGCAGAGTTCGACAGCGTATCGATGTCCGACTCGGCGTTGCTCTCGAGGTCTCTCGCGCCGCGTTCGGTGACGCTGAGTACGGGGCCGTTAGTCGACATCTTTTCGCGCAGCTCCTCCCATCCGTCGTTTTCCTCCTTTCTCTCTTGATGGATCGAGACGGCATCGACGGGGTCCTTGTGCATACCTAGAATGAGACGCTCAGCCATATAGAACGGTGGCTGCAGCACCGTGGACAGAACTATCACGACGTGAAGGTGCATGAACATGTACGCCATGATCACAGCGCCGTGATCTGGGACGAAACCCAGCGCAGACGGCGATGACGGGTCGGAAATGTTGACGATGGAGAAGAGAAGGTTAGCCGAAAGCTGGCAACCTCCAGCTACGTAACCAGCGATAGCCACAGCCAGGAAGAAAGCCGAACCGATGCCCAGACTAACCACGATAACGCGGGGCATACGCTTGGGCTGCGAGTGCTGACGCTGCAGATCGGGAATCAAGACGGCGACGCCGTACGCCAGCGACAGGTTGCCGAACGCCGTCAGGACCTGGTGCAGCGAGATATCGGGGGACGGCGCGGCTGGATGACCGCGCATCTCCCATTCCAGGACGTAGATTCCTACCACGTCAGCGATGATGGTTCCCATACATCCGATGAACGCGACGGTCGCAGCGGCCTTGAGGGTCGGAATCAAACAGGCCGGCACGGCCGTGACGGCCATGAAAACGATCCAGAAGATTTGGCTGAACGAGTCCGGGAACAGCACGTCTAGGAGGGTACTACCAAGCACCAGGAAGGCGCACGGTAGTAGCAGACACACAAGCAACTGGGACACGTTGACGAGGTAGCGTCCGGTCTTGCCGAGCACCCACTCACCAACATCGCTGAACGTCTGGACGGAGGGAGGCGCTACGAGGATGACGCGGGACAGCGCCACGGTTGAATAGATATTGGCAAAAGCCATAAAAAGCATCGCAATGGTGCCGTACACGGGTCCAGCACGGGCGAAATTGGAGGGCATGGCGAGCGTGCCGATGCCGCAGATGCAGCAGATGATACTGAAACTTATCTTGGCGTCCTCAAGCGTGAAGAACGCCGAGCGCCGCGGCTCGGCGGACGGGGTCATTGCAGCCATGACCTACAGGGAAGAAGCGAACGAACGAAAGTGTCCGTCGCAATGCTCGTGATCGGACGATCGAGTGGCTTTCAACTGCCCCAATTAGAGAATGCTCTCGTGGGTACGATTGCACGGGGTGGCGTCTACGTCCACCCTCCGTCAACGTTTGCGCGTCTTAACACCAAAGCGGCTCGATTTCCATAGTCAGGCCTCGTATCGAGGCGAACACACGGGAAAACGTCAGAACGTGTATCATCCTGAAACGTTTTGTCAGTATGTGTGAAACGTGTGTCAATAGGTGTATGGGCTGCCATCGGTATTGACAGTATGTGACAGTCTCAAAACAAACGCCAACAGGTGTATGAAAGTGAGGTTTGTGTGTCAAAATGTGTAGTGCACTATAGATCACTGGCCGAGAAGTGGCTACAGTGGGTTTGGTCCAAACCCACAAATCGCGACGTTCAGCGACCTACCTCCCACAGCCCCAAGGCAAACTCGCACACTTTGCGCTTCCATATACGAATATTGCGACTGAGGGACAACAATGGATGTCGACGTGGATGATATCAGTGAGGGTAGCGACTCAAGCGGTTCAGCGTGCTTGACGGTTGGCATGGTATTTGAGTCAGCAACGGACGCTCTCCATGCTGCACAAGACTATGCTCTTAGCCTCGGAAAGGCAGTCAAGGTCAGGCAACGAAGTGGAGTCCACAGACTCATTGGGTGTAGCTCTGATGGATGCGAGTTTTCCGTGCGTGTGTATCGGAAACGTCGATCTGACAAGACGTATGGACCGTGGTACATTTCTTCAATTGCTAATGACCATGTCAACTGTCTGTCAATCGCTAATCCAACCCGGAGGCAGATAACGGAGCGTCCAACTTTTGAAAGTGCTGTGCGTGCTGTGCGTGCTGACGGCAGCGTCACAGCAGGCGCACTCATTGATCAGATCCAGTCTGAGATGGAATTTCGCTTGGGAAAAAGCGACG